CTAGCTTCAGAAAATTTCCAAAATAAAAAAGGAGAGCTAGAATGACAGCATAATAAGACTTGGGTTGAGTTGGTCAGTATTTTCTTTTGTAGATGCATTTAGCAACCCGACCAGACCTAATTCCACAGCACCCTACCCCCATTCTGCAGAAGCCTCCTTGGTATAGTTCTATAACGGATGTTGTAAAAGGTTCCTCTTTTGGATAGGATTGGATTTTATTCTGAACACTTCCTTTGACATGCATTCATCTGCTATTTTCTTCTTATTGATATCCTTTTATTAGATGTTAATACTTCGGATCTGTTTGACCTTAAAAGATGAAAAAAGAAAACCTGTGTCTAATCAAAATAGCTGTTGTACACGAAGGGTTATTGGTAAAGAAAAAAAATGTATGTCAATAAATTTTACTCTTTGCATTATATGCAGGGGAGTTATAGCCAATCTTCCACGAGATATTAACGTGCAGATATGGGGCAGGTCATTCTGTTCCTACAGTGGTATTCACTTGAATGCTAAATTGCATTTTTTTCTTACCAGCTGAACATTGCACTGAAACATTCTTGCACCATTAGATATGTTGTTTGATCTTCAAGTTTCCGTGTTTTGGGGAAAACTTGGATCTCCACCTTTATGATTTCCATCAACATATTATATATGTCTTTCTTCTTCTAAAGATACCACAAGTGATTCGGGTTGTCCTAAGGAGAACCAGTTACTATAGTCTTCAAATAAAAACTTAGTTCTACGGAGAAAATCTTAGTAGTATTATATGGTACTCGATTAAAACAGACAAATTGTAGTCTTTCTCTTTGTTATTTTGTTTTCTCTATTTGCCATTTTTTTTCTTGGTGTGGGGGAATTTCTATTATGGTTTATTATTTTTATGTATCTGGTTTGCGAAAAACTATGAAGCACACCTAGAAATTATGAACGGTCTTTGAATTTTGTTTTACTTTGAGAGTTGCAAAGTGATTTGGGTGGGTGGGGGTTAGTTCTGGTATCGATGCTTTTATCTTCTTGATCTAATAGAGTTAAAAATATTGATCTGATTTATGGGTACTTTATGAAATTGTGGCAAGAGACTTTGCACTGCTTAAAACATAGCCCATGTTTAAGTCCCACTATTTAAAAGTTCATTTTTCTTCAAACTCATTTTTAATCACACATTTTCCAAATAAAATAATTTTGCACGTAAAACCAAATTTTTTTCTACTTTTTAGCCATACATTCTCCAAAAAAATCACTATTACAAAATCTATTATTCAAAAAAGGCTCAAACAAAGCCATTGTATTAGCAACTAAAATAAAGCACCCTAGAGCTTATAACCACTTTTTAGAGGCATTCAATTCTCTCTCTTTTTTATTATACTTACTACCGTGCAACTTTCCCTCTTGTTTGTATGTGTAGAAGGTGATCTTGTTCATGCTGTCGTCCCTCATATGGGTGAATCTATAACTGACGGCACACTTGCAACTTTCTTGAAGAGTACGTATTTCTCTATTTATATCTAATCTTAATCCCTTTTCACATAGACAATCATTTTCTAAGCTTATGCCTTTCTTTTGGTTTTGTGTGCAAGCAGAACCGGGTGACAGGGTAGAAGTTGATGAGCCAATTGCTCAGGTTGAAACTGACAAGGTACTCATTCTTAATTGCAGATAACCACGAGTATTCTATCCACTTTTTTTTTTTTTATACAAGGGGTCTCAAAATTGCAACATGCACACGGATATTATTGATCCGAGGTACTGATGCATGGGTGGGATAGATACAAATTCTAGACCCACTTGCATTTTTGATGATTTATACAATATAAATCCTATAATTATGAATATTGAAGCTTCCACAAATTGCTAATGGGATAACTGTCGTCACTTGGGATGTTTATCATCCATCAGGTCACCATTGATGTCAATAGTCCTGAAGCAGGTGTAATCCAGGAGGTAGGATACCATCAATAATATTTAATAAATATTGTTTACTTCTTTCCGACTTCCCTATTCTTTCCGCATTTTAAAATAGTGTTCTTTGGAACATTATTAGTTTGTAGCTAAGGAGGGAGACACCGTGGAACCTGGCACTAAAATTGCTGTCATATCAAAATCTACTGAAGGTGTAACTCATGTTGCACCATCTGATGAGAAGTCATCTGAAAAGGCTGCTCCACCACCACCTCCTCCTGCTGAAGAGAAAAAGGAGAAGCCTAAGCCAAAAGTGGAAACCACTTCTGTCATAGAAAAGCCTAAAGAAACTTCTTCACCTCCTAAACCCTCTGCAACAGAACCCCAGCTGCCCCCAAAAGACAGGGAAAGAAGAGTGAGTGTTATATTGTTCTTGTCATATTGCTTATTGATGCTTAGAAAAAAATTCTCTCATTATTATGTTTTATTTGAGCAATTGATTAATCTTGCTTCAAAAACTTAAAACTCTGTCAAAATGGCAGGTGCCTATGACAAGGCTCAGAAAACGAGTTGCTACCCGATTGAAAGATTCTCAAAATACATTTGCGTTGTTGACAACATTTAATGAAGTTGATATGTAAACCTCTCTCTCTCTCTCTGTGTTTTGGTTTTATGAGTAGAACAGCTTATATGTACCAAGTTCATCTGATTAAGAAAGTATCTTTGGGGCATTTCAGATTTCAACCTGCTTGTCTTAATTGGTGCATGCTTTTTTATCTGGGGACTTGTATTCAAGTTGTTAACGCATAGATATTGGTTTTTGGTTCTTGAAGCTGGAGGTCCTGAATTTTTATTTTTATTTTATTTTAGTTTCAAGCCTAGTAACTAGTTGAGGTTAATGTTGTTTTACAATGCGATCTATTTAAGATTTTGTGATGGTTCATTGGTTAATTTGTGTGAATAAGATTTTAAATTAATCTTATTTCCCCATTTTACTAATTGGAATAGAGTTTATATTTCCGTTGCATGAAATTTTTGAAGAACTTAACAAACTATGGAGATACCAGAAATTGTTGATTCAAGTTCCCAACCAATGTTCTTCCTCTCATGAATGTAAAAAACTAGTTGTTCAAGGATCAATTGAAGAAGTTTGACATTTTTTGTCCTCATTTTCTCCTTCGATTGTAGAATTCTGATAGTTTGTACATTTGTGATTTGTTACAGGACTAATTTAATGAAACTTCGTTCTGACTATAAGGATGCATTTGTTGAAAAACATGGTGTGAAGCTGGGTCTTATGTCTGGATTTGTGAAAGTATGTAGATATCCCGATTCGGTTTTCCCTTTATATATAAGCTAAAGTCTAATGGCTTACTTCGTCTCACTGAATTTCAGGCAGCTATTAGTGCACTCCAGAATCAGCCTATAGTTAACGCTGTTATTGACAGTGACGATATCATTTACAGAGACTACATAGATATCAGCATAGCTGTTGGTACCCCAAAGGCAAGTCACCATTATTTTATTTATGCACTTTGATTTACTAGAAACTGCTTTAGATCATGTTTGGTTAAGCTTAAAATCCAATTAAAATTGAAAATATAGTCGTTATTAGGTCTCACTCGTCTAATAAAAGTCAACAATAACGGCTAGTTTTTCAATTTTAATCTATTAGGTGAAGATTTTCCAATATGTCCTATCTGACGCTTTCTGTATTTTGGTTCAAGTTGTCCACTTGATCATGGGACATGGCTGATGAGTCTTTAAATAGAGATCTTATTTAACTTTGTATAAGCAAGTACCAGACCTTCAAAGACAAGAACCAATTATTCTTCATAAATAGCATAGTGGAAGAAACAAGTTGACTTGGTTTATAACGATTGCCAAACTTTTTATAGTCCTATGAAATAGGGTAATTTTCTGTGCCTCTTAATTCTAAATAACCTTTCATTTTTAATAGGGCCTTGTGGTTCCGGTTCTCCGGGATGCTGGTAGAATGAATTTTGCAGAAGTTGAGAAAGAGATTAACACCCTCGCAAAGAAGGCTACTGATGGCACTATATCAATTGATGAGATGGCTGGAGGTACATTTACAATATCCAATGGAGGTGTCTATGGAAGTCTTTTGAGCACTCCCATCATAAATCCCCCTCAGGTTTGATCCTCCTGGTTTTGTATTGGTGTTTTTCTGTTCAGCTCATCCCTGTGATTAATGTTTGTTGTTTACTCGCTTGATATTGTAGTCTGCAATCCTGGGGATGCACTCAATAGTGAACCGTCCAATGGTTGTTGGAGGCAACATAGTTCCAAGACCGATGATGTACATTGCATTGACATATGACCATAGGCTGATTGATGGAAGAGAGGCCGTCTTCTTTTTGAGAAGAATCAAAGACGTGGTAGAAGATCCTCGCCGACTGCTCTTGGATATATGAAGCTCCATCAACTAATGGTGCAGTTTCATATTTGCTAATATATTTGAGTTAAATACCCTCAAGCTTCGCTGAGTCGTAGTAAAATACATCATATCAAAAGTTTTGTGATACTCTTGTCATTTTTCCTTGCAACAAAGTCATTTTCAGTTAGCGGCCTGCCATGTCTAAGCTTGAAATGAGATCCTTCGTTATTCGTTCAACTACTTATATTTTGAGAGTTATTTGTGTATTGTTTCTTGCCTTGTGCTTGATTTGAATTGAAGATTATCTACATTCTTGTCAGAATGAGACGAACAATTTAATAATTCGATGTTTCTGCACTTGTCTATTGGACTGTTATTTTTCATTCTCATTGAAATAAGATCCTTCATCTAATGTTCAAAGGGCTCACTAGTTACCAAGTAAACACACGCTTCAAAGATAATACATGCACAGTTTGGAGTTTAGTAAAATTTCACTGGAAGACAAGAAGCCTCAAACTGCCCCTAACAAAATTCTTCAGTATTGTATAACATTTTACAATGTCAAAAAGTACTGTATAAAATTTTGAAGTTTACCAAAACAAACACGTTTACAAATCCACCAACAGCAATGTCAAAAAGTAAACAATAATGGCAGTACGGTTACAATACAATGTATTAAATGGCTAAAAGCCACCATTGGCTAGAGTGGAGAAGTATAATTCAAAGATGTGCTGCTGCACAATAAAGTGAACATCTCACGAGGTAGAATTCACGATAGAAACAAGCAAAACAATGGTCTACTAATCAAATATGGAGGGGAAAACCTGATTACATTCTAACTTCAATGCCTTCCTTTGACAAGTGCTCTTTCACAGATTGAATAGGAACCTGCAACTCAGGAAATGATAAAAGATCAATATAAAGACAAGCACATAAATGTTTATAATCACTTTTCCAATTTCGAACATCTCCAGATATAGGTTAACTCGTACTTTAGATCAATGACAAGGTATCACGTCATGGAAGTAACTAATGGACAAAATGCCAGTATATAAATCAAAGAGCATGTTTGGCCGTGCATTAAAATTAAGCCAAACTTATTTTGACAAACATGATTTTTAAACTACTTCGTTCGTAAAAAGTAAATCTTAACTTGCTCCGTAGAAAAGTAACTTTTAAGCACATTGAAACATACTCTAAGTCCATAGTTGATCGTGCACAATAAGTGAAACATCTCTTATAAGGTACTTGAGCAGAAGAAACTGAAATTTTTTTCAACAGAATACTGAGGGTGTGTTTGTTTCCCATTATTGGGAGAAAAATAGAGTAATGAATAGTATTTTTTGGAGATTGTGTGGTTGAAATTTAAAGTAATTTTATTAGTTTGTGTGTAAAATATTCAATTGGAAGAATGTGTGGTGGAAAATCTTACTGTAGCAAACAATTTTTTGGAATAATGGTAGACAAACAGGGGCTGAAGCTAAAGATAGAAAAACATAACCTTGAAAAAAAAAAAAAAGAAAAGAAAAAGAAAAACAGAGTTCCAGTTTTCTGTTGACAATACCTCCTTCCGATGGAAAATGCCGGCAGCAAGGGCAGCAGATGCATTTGTTTCCAAGAAAACTTCGGAGAAGTGTTCAACAGCTCCAGCACCACTACTTGCAATTACAGGAATGCTCACAGCATCTGAGATCAGCTTTACTAGATCTATATCAAACCCCTTTCCTTGACCTGAAAGAATCAATCGCACCATCACAAGACTTAACCAATTGCTGAGTTCATAACCGAATGGCACGTGTCCCTTAACATAACATGCACTGGACAGACATCCTCAACACCCACTAAAATGACTTCAGAACTACAATTATAAGAAAACAATTCATGCTAGTTATTTTTCAGCAAACAACTCAAACAAAAAATAGGTCGAGAGTCATCTATACCCCCAACATATATCAGTTTTATCACAAATAGAGAGAAGAGAAGTAACATCTGTGAATAAGCTATGTCATCAAGCCTTACCATCACAGTCAATGCAATTTATGAGTATTTCTCCAGCCCCCAATTCTTCAACAGCTTTGGCAAGCTCATATGCCCCAATTGGTCGACCTTCTCGCCCGCCATTCACCTTAAGAATGTTCAAGTTTATTGAGCAAAAAGGACCTCAAGATAGCAATATGCAAAGTATAACATACAAATGAATACCAACAAAAGAGATCTCAAATTTTCACGTATCAGATAGTTTTGAAGTTTTAGAGACCAGAAACCATCAGAATGGAGATATATAGGAGCTTTTAAATCCCAACGACATTCAACAAAAGGGGTCCCATCTTACTAGGTTAATAAAATAGAATCAACATACTGCAGTCATGGTAAAAAAGTACTGTTGAATGACTACAAAGGTTGCAGACTAGAACTATTGGGCAGGACCTATCAGTCATAATAATTTGCACTTGTCAATCCATGCACTCTGCAGGGCTAAATTTCCATCACATATTATTCAGATCTTATCAACTGTCCAAGTATCTCCCTGACTGCTAGAAAATAACATATATTAAAGTCAGTCTTAATCATTTACAACCTTCATTCTTGCCCTCTAGTCTTTTTTTTTTCACTAGTTTTAAACGAAAGAGGTCATTGTTTTTCATGCTGGAGGTTCAGTTAGACTGGCATGAGACACCTAAGAAAGCAATCAAAATTTGGATTTAACCTTGCTGTGCATGCAAGACAAATGTGAAAGCAAGAAATACATACTGTGCATTGGTACCATACGTATTCTTCTCCATTTGGACCTGAAATGAACACAAGAAGCAAATTACATACTGTCTGCTCTTTTACTTTTTTTTTTTATCAGCTTTCTCCATTTGCAACACAACTCTTTTATTTTGTAAGTGGCTGCTTGTAGCACTAAGAGTTTCAGCATGTACAGAGGTAAGTAATAATTGGAAGTTTAGTGGGCTACAAACAATGGACAATACTGATGGCCAGCTCTAAACAAGAGCCCCTCGTAAGCAATATATTGAATTTGCAAACCAAAGGATTCCAAAGCAACTATATAGTTAGGACTCTTCACTATTGCTCACCTGGATTTCTTACTCTTATAGCCTTGAATTCTACATTATTGGGGTCCTTCAAGTACACCCTACGAGGATCAATGCTTACAACAACCGCCTAATATTAAAGCAGAGGAATTCATTAAAATTGGCAATGACATTTTGGAAAGGGTATTGTAGAAGAAGTTGATGCATGTCATTTTTTGTATCAGGAACAAGGAAATTAAAAAAATTAGAACTAGCAAATGAACTCTACCTGATTCCCATACACTCTAGAGATCTGCTCCAGGCTGCTCTTCCCAGTTTTTACCTTAAAAGGGAAATAAAGAAACATTAACTCAAAACACACACACGCACGCACATATACATGAAGAACAAAGAGGAGGATGAGTACTCTGGTTTTCAAGTATTCTTCTGCTGCATATACTGCATCACTTCCAATGGAAACCTTATCTGCACCAGATCGGAAATATTCTGAAGCAACTTCCAAACTAGAGTAGTACCTGAGAAAAGTTATGCAAATCTACACAATAAAATTCTTTTATTGTCGAAGTTCAGTGACAAATTTTATTTAATCTATGAATTCAAGTTTTCTTCACTCACAATGGAAAGAAAGCTAAAGAAACACAACCGTTTTAGACGAAATGAAAATCAAGATCATGAATAATGGACAGCTCTATACCTGCCAGTTCCATCAGTAAAATCTCGAATACCTCCTCCAACAGTCAATGGTACAAAAACATTCTCAGATGTATACCTCAGTACCTACAAAGGGACACAAATAGAGGCTGTATTTAATGCGTTTTTACAAGCAGAAGTTAGTGCTAAAGCAAGAAATGAAACAAAGAGAAAATGTAAACTAGAACAAACATAGGATGCCAAAACAGATATGATTTATCTTATCATGGGATTTATGAATCTGACTGACCATAAAGGGAAAGTAACGAGCAGCACACGAGAATACATCTATTGAAAAAACAAACCTGCAACATAGGCAAATCTCCAAGAGGGAAGTCTCGGAAGCCGGTAATATTCAAAAAACTAACCTGAAACGCAATGAGTAATTAATTTGAATTTCTGTATTAGACTGCACTTCTGTGTGTTCTGTGAGGGATTAAGTAATGAAGTCTCTTTGTAACCAGAAACGCTGCTAATTTGTCAAGGCTTAAGGCTTACCTCATCAGCCCCGTCAAGGTAATATCGTCCAGCAAGCTCAACTGGCTTGCCAAGGTTCCTCACCTACAAGGGAAATGTCACATAGAAGTGCATGTAGCAGATCTTATATCAATAACTTTAATTCAAACTTAACGAATCAAGTAAAATGATAATAATCACCCGAAATGAACATTTTTAAAAGCTCTAACATCCAGTGACTTCATACATCAATCAAGACTCAAAAGTCCTTAAGTGTATGTGAATAAGTAATAGTCTTTGTTCATAGTGCTAACTACAAGGAACTATTAAAAGAGATTTAACTATAACGTAAGGTCCAAGATATGTCAGTTAGAGGATGCTGGAAGAGACGTTTCATTTGAGATCTTAGCATATGGGGAGAATGCAAGAGCACAAGATGCAAATTTCTAAAATAATTCCAAGGTAGGAAAATGATTTAAAAAAAAAAAGGAGGGTCTACGAAGTAGATTCCAAAGCGATTCACACAGTCCAGCCTCGAATTTAAGAGAGAGAGAGAGAGCATATCAACAATCTGACAAAGCTTGCATAATTTTATAGATCAATCTCTCACAGATAAGCACAGATTCATGAAACCCCCAAGTCTCTTAAAGCACATTGACACCCGAACCTAAAGCATAAAAACATGAGAAATGTTGCAAGAGGAACATTGAAAGTACGCATAAAAATCCATCTATTATAAATTGCTCCAGGTTATACCTCATTCTCTTTGGTGTGCTCTCTCACATCATACTGGTCTCCTTTGGTTACAACAAGGTCACCGTTGTCATTTGTTCTTACATCAAGACAAGCAATGACCTGAACAGTTGTTAAATCATACAATAGTTGATAAAAGGAAGTAGTTTCTTTTCACTGGAACAGCAGATAAAAAGTGGAAAGAATCTTACCTCTTGGGATGACATCATATACTATATTAGTGAACTGACAAGAAATCACTATATAATAAATCAATCTGACTAGGGAACTCACCCTTTTCGCAAGTTTAGAAGCTTTCCTTTGGACTGACGGCTTCTGTCTTCACATGACGATTCAGATTGTTAGATGCATTAGTGAAATGAGTAAGAAACATAACAAGATTTACAGGCCTCAAGTATACCTTTGTTGTTTCACATTTTCGATACAAGAATCTTCTCAATATAGAAAGACCAACATCTGCAGAGTCATTTCCAAGAACATAAACCTCTAGGAAAATATATGTAGTCTCAACAAAAAGAAAAACTGATAGATACATATTTGCAACAAAATACAATGTTCAGTGCTCCAGAAAAGGAAACATTGCCCTTGTTTGGTTTGGATTAAAATCAAAAGTCAAAGTCAACATTTAATTTTAACCACACATTTCATAGAACTTACAACTTTTCAACCCCACATTTCATCAACTTTTATCAAAATCTACTAAAAATCTGATTTTAATCTCTACCAAACAAGGGCATTATATAGCAGAGTCCACTTTTCCTTCTTGCGCTCTCCGAAGAGCTAATATATGAGAAACTAAAGTTGTTTCATTCCTCAAATCTATACTAGAGTGAAAATTGCAGCTTACCTCCACTCTTCTCTGGGTGGAACTGAACAGCATGGACATTTCCCCTTCTAACAGAGGCTATGAAGTTCTCACCATAATTGCAAGTAGACGATATCCATTCTTTATTATCATCTGACTACATAGAAAAACGATAAGGAATGGTGGCTTTAAATGAAATGTAAACAAGATATAAAAAAATTGAAACCGTAAACAGGGGAGGGTCGAAGTGGAATAGAAACAAGAAAGAAAGTTTACTGGCATTGCACGGTAAGAATGAACAAAATAGACATGATGACTTTCGATATCATCCAAAATCTGGGAGTCCTTTCTTATTTGGAGAGCATTCCAGCCGATATGAGGTACTCTGAAACCATTTGACGAGTCAAAACGTCCAACTACTCCAGGAATTAAACCAAGTCCTTTTACTGAGTAACACACGAACGGTAAAATTCAGCTTCAATGAGAAGATATAGGAATTACCAAGAAAATATAGTCTATCTAAAGGTACCAATACAAAAAGTAATTATCATGGCCAGAAATTAATTTGAAAAAGTCATAAGCCACTAAAATGAATACTGCTTGTTTAGAATGATAGAAAATCAAGGAGTGATTCTTGTAGAAACTACAGAATATCTAAAAGTAAGTTCATGTCATCGAATTTTTATTACTTCGATTACTCAAGAACTTCTGACTCCTAAAAGAGAAAAAAATGGGAATCTTTTCAAAATGAAATACAGACTTCGTAAACCCCAATGGCACACTCCATAAATAAAATAAAAGCATAGTAGAATAATATTTCTCTGATGCTAATCATTGTCCAGAATCAAATCAAGAACCTCTGCTAAAAGTATGTGAGAGTGCGTGGATATAAGCACCTATTTGGGCGTAAATTTGAAAACATTTTCTTTCCCCTTTTTGTCATACTATCTATCCGTGTCGGCATTGTTGCAATTTCTCAAGTTCTTCATTTTTGCCATTTCAAGAAACAGAAAGATATCATCATCTTGCCCAGGTTTCTATCATCACCAAGGTACAACTTTGTTCACCACCGATGCATTCCATAGTGCTCACGTGGTCCTTTGCTTTTGTAGCAACTACGTCCCCAGTAACATAGATGACGCTCTTCTCTCCCACTCCAATCTCCTACACCCACCCCCTTCCCTAATAGAAGATAATATATGGTTGGAAGTTAAATTCCCTTTCCTATTTGTCAACATTGGACTCAAAGTTGGTAATTTTGGGTTCTGGAATTTCACCTACACAATCAGGGATTAGTTCCACACTTCTAAAGATCTGTGTATTGCACAACATTTTAAGTTTCACCTATTGCGATGTTGGCTAATTTGAATATACCCTAGAATATGACGTGAGAATATATCTCAAAACATGACCTCCAAATGCATTTTCTCTTTTATAACACTCCTCACATGTCTCAAATTGATTTAAAAAACACATGTCTATACAATGTGTGCTTAATTTAACACCATCTATACAATGCATCTCACATGTCTCAAATTGATTTAAAACAAGCAAAAGAAAGGGCTGGTTCGACTCGATACCAAATTTTAGAAATTATACTTTGAGCATTACAGTACTCCAGCTAGCATAAAGCTCTCATCTCCGCTTGAATTTTATATCCAAAAGTCCATTAGGACTAGGGGCTGAACAATTTGTTAAATGGACCCTAACCGCAAAGGAAGCTTTAATGCAATGAACTCTAGCTAGGAAAAAAAAAAGAAGGAATAGAATAAATAATCTGCCAAGTGATTACCTGGTCCATTTTCCTCACTTGATTCAAATAATAATTGCAGTCCAAGACAAATGCCTAAAAATGGACGATCTTGCTCAATGTACGCACAAAGCACTTCAGCCATCCTACAGAATACTTTACACATTAACTTGCTGGAGATCTTAATTTATTTGCAGAAAGGGATATGTTATAGTGATTTGAGAAATTAATCCATATGCTTGCCAAAATATATGATAAAATGAATCGATTACAGACAGGACTGAATCAGTGATTTAGTGCTATAGAAAAATTTTGTAACAAACATAATTTTTAAATTTAAATGCAAAATATTGGTTGAATATCTATAAAAGACACGCGTGAGTTGTCTTCTTGAAATGCATATCATGGAATTTAGATGATATCTTATGCTAAGCTTACCCCTTCTTGTTTAGCACATCCATGGCAGCAGCAAATGCACCTACCCCCGGAAAAATGAGGCGTTTGGCATTCATGATGTCTTCGGGTGTTTGCACCTTTAACAAAATACGATTGTGCTTTAAGTTTCAATTTTAATAAACTCTAGTACTCTACTGTCTTCTAATATTTTTACAAAAAAAAAAAAGAAAAGAAAAGAAAGGAGAAGTCAATTTTCAGTTCTTCAAAAAGTAATTTATATGGACAATAAACTTGTCACTACGATAATTATCCAAAAAACAGAATTAATAAAGAAAGTACGTAGAGGTAAATTAAATTAAAAATTACATCTTTGATGTCAAAGCCAAGAAACCGAATTGCATTTCTGACACTGCGCACATTCCCAGCTCCATAATCAAGCAGCGTCACCACTGTCAACAATCAAAACAGAAAGTTCAAAGCAAACAATGACAACTAAAAATAACAACCAAAGCATGAAATCTCAAGTCTTAACAAAGAAATAAGCCTTTTGTTCCATGCATTTATACATATCAATTGATACATTGCATATGTTTACATATTTCTACATTTATACCAGAGTCATCCTCAACAGAAGAAGAGGCGCGAATTGAGAAGCCTTTTGAAGGTTTCAAGTTGTGAGAACTACGCCGTAAGAACTGTAGAGAGCGAGAACCAGAGGAGCACAGTGAGGACGATGAAGAATAAGATAATCCTATGGTTGGAATCTGTGTAGCCGGAGTGAATGTTGCCGCCTCCATTTTGTTCCTACAGTCTCTGCAATAAAGCTCTGAGTTTGGCTTGTAGCATATAAAACCCCTGTAACTGTAAATCTCAAATGTTTTGTACGGCTGCGTTTTGAGTTGGATTGGAAGTAATGGACGGATTTATTACTGGCCCATACTAAAAGTGGGCCAAAATTGAACTGCAACAGCCCAAACGTTTCTTTTGAAGGTTTTAAATGATTAAAATTTGGGAGTTGACAAAAAGAACACAAACATGAGCCAATAAAATTTGAAGAACTCTTTTGTGTACTTTCACTTTACAATTACATGGCACTTGCCCTTTTTGAGTCTTGTAGAAAGGTAGTTTAGCTTGTGTTCGTCTTTCCTAAAAACTTCATTTTACTATTCGGAAAAAATCATACATTAATTTCAACAAAATATATCATACTTTGGATTTTTTGTTCATTTTTATTATCCAAACATTTAGTGGGATTCAATACTACTCTTTTTAAAAAGTTATTAATAATTTTAGACAAGCTGAGCTAAACTTTAAAACGAAGATTATTTTTTGAAAAAAAAAGGAAAATTAAGAGGTGATTTTCAATTATGTTGAATATTGATTATTGAAAGGTGATTTTCAAATTTTTAGTAGGGTAAATGGCGCAAAACGTCCCTACCTTTGAGGGTTGTTGTGGAAAACGTCCCTACCTTTCGTTTTTTGGTGTAGAACGTTCCTACCTTTCACATTATTTGCGGAGAAGGTCCTTTTCACCTATTTTTCACTTTAAATGACTATTATACCCTTCTATTTTTATAAAAATATTAAAAATAACAAAAAAAAAAAAAATTTCTCGCTCTCTCCTCGTTCGCCTCCTCCACCGGCTGCCGCTGCCGCCACCAAAACCCTAAACCATTCAATCTCTCACTTTTTTTTATCTCAAATTGAAGGAGTTACTGGCAGACTCCCCACATCATAGTGCATGAGTGACAATTATTATTCAATATCACAACCAAATTTGAAAGAGAGGGCTGAAAATCGGCATCGTGCTTATCTAGCCGAGAAGAACAAAAAAACACAGAGTTGAGAGAACCCAAGAACGTTGGCTGCCTCGAAGAAAATGAAACAGATGA